GCTGTGTGTGTGCCTCTTCTCAAAGCAGCCTTGTGGTTTGGCTTCTAAGGAAAACACCAGCGTTAGTCACACGTGATTCAGCTGTAACTATCCCACCCATTATGAGCCCTGCTTGCAGAACCTGCTTCCAGATGTTTTTAACTGCAATGATTTTAAAGCACATCCACACCAGCTGAGGCTGGGCTAGCCAGCACTGCATGGGGTTAAGGCCTCTTACCAGTGAGGCTTAAAACCTGTTTCATTCAAGCCCTTTCTGCATCATGTGTGCATCTGTTCACACCTCTGAGCATGCTTTTTGGACAAGCAAGTATCTCTTTAGCTTGGTGCCTTTTTGCTTTGTCTTCTGGAAGTAAAGTGTGTTTATAAGTTAGGTAATCTCACAGGAAACAAAGAAGTAGCATGTGGTGAAGTCAAGCATTATGTGGCGCGAGCTCTTTAGTGTTAAAGAAATATTTCCAGAAAAAAAAGTCTGCAAATAACAGATAGGCTACAGCTTTGTTCAGGACTCATCGAGTGCCTTGGAATAGCAATCAAAACAGTAAAATCACATGGAGTTCTCAGACAAGAGGGAAATGGGCAGGAAAAAAATCAGTATGGGTTAAATACGTTAGTTGTGTTGAACTCTGGGTAAGATTTTAAATTTGTAGACAGAAAATACTGTCCAGTTCTATAAATACAGACATACGAAGCTATGAATACAGGCATATGAAGCTGTTGCACAGTGCTAAAAACATTTCTAAAGGAAATAAAATAGTTCTTTTATCAGTCATCGAATTTAAGGGAATCGTACGCTTCTCGTGTATCATGGGCTGCTCTTTCAACACACTCTGTGATTCATTGTGCAGGACTAGGTCACTGCAGGGACGTTCTGCGAACTTCTCATCTTCAGGGACCCCGTGCGTAAGCCAGGCAAAAGGTTCATGTGATCTGTGGGTCAAACAGGGACCTGGCCAAGTCTTTCATAAGAGATTTCTCATCTACCACAGAACTTTGCTTTATCTTCCTGAGGAATCCTAGTGATAAAATTAAGCCTGTTTTGAATAGCTTTAATGAATTGCATTGCACAGCTTTATGCCTCTGTCTGTGAATTCAGACACGTACTGTCATCTAGTTGTGGAAGAGTCACACCTTTGTTTTATTCTTCTAAAGGAGCCTTGTAACCATGTGGATGTCACTGTGATAGCAGAAGCACACCAATTGAAGGGTTGTCTGGTTTACAACAAAATAGGTCTTGCTCCTTTTTCTTGAGGAAGAGTGTTTGACCAAAGCTAGCATGTAAGTCTTGTAAAAACATTAGGATTTCCTCTCCATAACATAGTAATACAAACTTTTAACTGATGAGGATCAAGGAAAAAAAGATTCTCTGTGGCAGTGTTTTTTCTTTGACATTCCCCTCAGCCAAGTGTGAGTGGGCAAAAACCAGAGATCTGAAGTTGTGTTGCCTACTAGTGTGTCAGTACTGTCTGATATTGCAGGTTTGTTTCCCAAGCAATACTCATAGGTTTTTGCGTATAAATTGTCTGAGCTCCGGTGGGAATTTCCCATGTAAATCTCTCTCCTGTAGATCAGCCGAACTTTTTCCTCTTGATGTCTGTTTGTGTATCTTTCTCCTCACAGTTTGAGTTCATTTTGAAATAAAAGCTACTTATGCATATTTCCTTTCTCTTTGAATCCTCACACTGACAAATAAGTCTTAGTAGCTTGTCTCTTGTTAGCTTTTGCTATTTCTGTGTACTCCAGGTACTGCGATACAGTGGAAATACCTTTAGAATACAAGGTTCACACGTTGTAAATTGGGTGCAGAAAATTTGTGTTTAGGCCACCTTGCCTGCAGGTCTGAGACATCTGGAGGGCTCACAGTTGTGATAGCAGAGAATTAGTGCTGATTTGAGAGGTACAGCTCCTGAGTCTTACAGGAAACTTGGAGCAGATCCTGAGAAGTCTAAATCCAGGACCTTGGGGGCTTTTTATTATATTCCTTGAGATTCATACAATCTACCCTGAGGCGTTCTGGCACAACTCTGCTCTGTTTCATTTAGGCAACTGCTCTGAAGAATGAAGTCTCAGGAACAACATCCTTCTACTTCCTGTGGAGCGCTACAACCACTCTGCAGGGCACAGGGCAGTGGTGAACCCAACCCTAGATGCCAAGCAAATCCAGCTGCGTTCCCTGCCCTGCCAGCAACCTCACTGAGCCATTTAGCTTTCTGTGCCTCACTTTTCTCTCACGTGAGGCTTTCACATCCACTTCAGTACATTAAAGATAGTGCACATCTGACAGCCATGTTCTGAGAGCAGGGGTCTCTATTCCACTTAACTTCTTCAGCCATCTGCAGTAAATTGTTAAAGATTAAAAACATGTTGCTGTAGGTGTCTTCCTACTTTGCTTGCTAAAAGGCACATTTTGACATGCAAAAACTTGTAGTCCTTCAGTATATTTTTAAAGCATTACATCAAGAAAGTTTCCCTACATTTTTGAACTACAGAGTCCTTGTTCCTAAAGTGATTTTCTCTATGCTATCTGCAAAAGTAAAACAGTGAAATATTCCATACTGTTTCCTACTGCAAGTAACACCATAAATTAGAGCTAAATGAGGCAATTTTGTCACTAACAATAGGTACGTCGATGAGGAAGTGAAACTTGGGAGCTGTTATTTTACGAGCACGATCCCTTTATTGACATTACTTATTTTTTGTTTGTTTCTAAACACTGTCCACTTGTAAACACATAAGCTACATTGAAGGACAGTAGCTAGGATATGAGAGGCTCTTCCTTCTGTTATCTACTCCCAGGGAGCATCCGGTGTATTTACAACACAGAGCATCTGTCACAACACACATAACTTGTGGAAGAGCGAATCTACACAAGTACTGTATGTCAGGCTGTAAAGTAAGCACTCCCAGGAATGAGAGGCATCACGAAGGGGTTGATGTGGTAAGGAAACATTGCTGTCCAGGGCAAACCTAAAACAACCGTGTTATGTTGACTCCGTATTTCAAAACTAATTGCATGTTCTGAGATCCCTTTGACTAAGAGATGAATGTCATGCCCTGTATCATTTAACACCGCTTTTCACTCTTGTGTAGAAGAATGTTCTGTAGATGATGGACATTGGAAATATTCCAGCATAATCAAGTGTGTTTGTTGGTCGAGGGACTTAGTCCAGTGGTCATTGTGGATGATTAAAGGATGTTGAAGTACACTGGAGCTAGTTTACTACACACCGAGGGTAGTTTGTTTCAAAATTACTCATGCTGAAAGGATGAATGCTGCGTGATGTCTGGATGAATCACACCACCCCATGAAACAATCAGGACAAAGTACCCTCCTATTTTCAGACTTCTGTGCCTGCAGCCAAGCCTCTCGGGTGGCTGAGGGTCAGAACTGTGCTTCCCAGCTCCCAGCCTGAGGTTGACCACTGGATTGGGATCTGGGATACCTCGGTCGGACCCTAATCTCTGTCTGCAGTGTAGTTTGGATAAATGGTTTCCCTTTTACACACCACTGTTTACTTTCCTCAACCTTTGTCTGCAGAAAGCCTGAACACTGGGCAGCAAAATCCCTTCCGTTTGTGGGGCTTGACACCATGGAGCCTTGTGAGGAACCAGGGGAACTGACCTTGGGGTTTGCAGCCCCTGGCCCTGCTGTGGCATGCTGGAGACATGTTCCTGTGTGGGACACCTGTGCTGGACACAACAGCTCTATGCTGAGGGTGCTTTTGGCATATGGGGCCAGGCAGGTGGAGAGGGGCTTCAGAAGGAAGGGTGAAGCTGTAGCGCTTCCCCTGCCACGCAGCCACGCGTGGCCCCACTCATAGGGCGCAGCCGTGGGGTGCGCAGCACAGCTCAGGGCGGGCAGGGTTGTCCCGGGTGCCTTTCTCCATCTGTGGTCAGACTTAGGGCACTCTCCATTTTGAATTGTTCCCACTGTGTACTCTGCTCAGCCTAGAAAGCAAGCACATTCAAATAAATGAGTAATTAATAGTGAAAAAGCACTGGTCAGAAGTTTTATTTTGTGTGTGTGCTTCATCCATGATGACTTCTGTGAAACTAGGGTGAGAAACTGGGAGAAATGGCAAGGGGCAACTCAGTTTTGGATAGTTCTTGGACTACAATATTAAACACAGATTGCTTTTGGGGAAATTTGTTTTGTGTGATCTGATCATTGTGTGCTGGATGTTTTTTGGGGGTGACTCACCCGCTGCTTGGGCGCAGAGGGGTGAAAGAAACAAGAGATGTTGGCTGTATCATTGCAGAAGGCTTTGAGTTTTCTTTAGTAATCTCTCCAAGGGATTCCTGTTTTAACTTTTCAGAGAAATCTGCCCATCCTATTCTCAGCCTAACGATGACTTCACTTGTAAAGGAAGACATTTTCCCATCTGTGCAGCCAGATTGAAATAAGAATTACAAGGGAGATGAGTAAACACCAAAGGAAGGAGAGGTTGGAGGGCAATAGAAAGATGAATTAAAATCTGAGTGTCTAATATGTGGCAATTTATGGATGTTTGGAGTTGTATAAATACTTTCCTATAGCATAGTCATCCTGGTATGATCCTAACAGAAATCCATTAAGTCAGTTTAATCAAGGTACAGGTACAGTTTAATCAGGTACAGGACTATGTCTCGTGTTTGTTTTTTCCTCCAAAGTTAACCCTTTTGCACTGAGTACACACTAACATCCATGGTTTTGCTCGTGTATCTGCTTACACAGAACATTACATGTATATTCAGAAATCTTATTTTAACTTTTGTTCATGGATGTAAGAATTTATTTTGCACAAAAATCCACTGTGTGTGACAAGCTGCACCTGGAGACAGGACTCCCTCCAGGAGGGTGGCCACACCGCTTCATTGAGCAGTGCTTTTGGTGCAACAGGGTTACATACAGTTATTACAATGCTTCTCCTTCCTCACCGGGTCAGCACACTGAATTGTTTTGACCATTTCAGCACCAAAAAACGTGTTTTATTTTTAAATTACTTAATGCCAGTTTCTCCTAGGTGCCTGGCATTGCCCTTTCAGCTGGGAGAACTGAGCACAACTTATTTCACCAGCTGAGCTGCAGGATTCATCACATGAGCACCATGGGGCCAACTGCCTGTGCCCAGGAGCCGGCACATGCTGTGCAGGTGTGCCCTGGGCTGGGGGCTGGTGTGGTGCGAGCAGGAGGGAGCGACCTACCCTGGTGTTGGAGACTGCTCTGAGCTTGGCCAGCAAAGGTAAGGCGTCTTAAAACAGTTGATGTGCTGAATTTGTGTTTTTGAAACAAGGCCTTTGAACCTGAAGTTGCTGAGGTGTGTAGTGAATGTTAGCCCTGCGGGGATTTTGCTGTGCTGGGATGGTAGAAAAAAAGAGCCCTGGAACTGTGTTTATTCAACTCTTGTCAATTTAATGTATTAATGCTACTTTGAGAGACTGTATGGACAGATCTTCTAGTTGCTGAAGTGGAGGAATTGCTTTAGTTAACATATGGAAAATATTTACAGGCTTTATACGATGGTGATATATAAGAGTAAACAGAACATCAGATAAGCACTGCATTCCTTTATTTTCACTTAAGACTCAAGAAAAATATATGCCTCTTTACTCACAAACGAGACAGATGGCTTGATGGCTGAGGGTATGCTATCTGGGGAAAAACATGCGTATTAAGCAAAGAGAAATAGAAATGTAAAAATCTTCCATAAATTCACATCAGGATGATCTCCTCTGAAGTTTGCATAACTGTTTTTATGGAGTAGGTGCTTGGGTTATAGCTTAATTTTCTGTCTGCTTCCAGTTTCCTTGCATTAAAAATCAGTGCCACGCCAACTTCCATCTTGCTCATGCCATCTGTCCTTTGGGACCTGGGTACAACCCTGTGGACATCATGTGTGTGTCTATGCAGGTCAGGGAGGGGGGAAGCCAGCCCTGGGAGCAAAGTAATGCTGCTCCTCCTTTCTTCAGCCATCAGGCAGGACTTGGATACTGAGTTTGTCTTCTCCAGGCTGAGCCCAGCTGCTCAGGCTTAGGGCTGGTTCCATTTTCCTGTGGTTTCACACTACTTCAGAGTTCATATTAATATGTAAATCTGTATTTTCCTGATCCCAAGCTCTGAGGAATTCCCCAGGAGCACTGCAAAGGAACAGCACTGTGCCCTGACACCCGAGCAGGCCGGGGTCATTGCTCAGGAGGAAAAATGCCGAAACACGCTGACAGGCGGGACAGGATGCAGCACAGCTGGTGCTGACTGCTCTCTGCTCTTCAGCAGCCAAAGCAATTCCTGGGGGCTTGCAAACACTGGCTGAGGTGACCAGAGCTTTGCTGCAGACTTGTCAGTGCTGAGCAGGGGCCTGTGCAAATGTTTTCTCATCCACTTCAACTGATGGAAGGCTGAACGTGTGATGATTTTATTTTAAAGCATGAAAGATTAAAAGATATCTGGCTTTCCTACAGAAGTCACGTTGCTAACATAGGAAATGAAATGCGTTGCCAACTCAGTGAGGAAAAAATGCAACTTCGAACAAGTGCATTACAAATGCTGAGATCTAAGAAATGTTGACTTGTTCAACATGTTGGTGGTTTGAAACTGATGTTTTAAAAAATTGCTGACCTCAGGATTTTCTTTGACTCTTACTCTTGTTTCTTTTGGATATGCTTTGTTGTTTATCTAAGCAACTCTGGTCATTGAATGAGGTTTCAAGAGAAAAGGTAAACAGAGGAAAGAAATTAATGCAGGCAAGCATAAATAGGTTTTGCTATGACAACTTCGCTTCTTTTGTTTTGCAACTCTGAAAATACATGAAAATGTATTTACATGAAAAATGTATTTATATGAAACCATATGAAAATGTATTTACTTTTCCATGTTTCTAAAAAGCAGGCTGAATCCATACTGAAAGGCTTAGGAAGAAGCTAAGATTTGTTAGCTTTGGCACAGGCATGTGGAAGCAGTCTAATATCATCAAGTTTGAAAAAGGAGGACAATGACAAAGGGTGATTCAAATGCAGCATAAACTTGGTTAATTTACTACATGATCTTGGTTTTAATAAAAAGCAGAGGAGCTGGTACACAGTGCTGGCAGAAAGCCTGAGGTGAGATCTCATTTAGCTGTAGATATCAATAAGGAAGCACAGCCAAATAATGCCATTGCTGAATTTATTTATTGTTGCTTAAGCTTTTTAAGATGACTAAATCTGTGTTGGAATTTCCCCCCTCCCCCCTTTAAAAAAAAAAGGCCAAACTGTAACTGTGTCTGAGGCACTTTTTATATGGCTGTGGTGTCCTGGTTGGCTCTAGTTCCACTGACAGACATGCACCAGATCACTTGCTGCTCAGTGCTTGCTCGCATCAGTGCTGGGTCCAAAAAGAACCAGCTGCGGATGTATCTGAGCTGTGTCTGATACAGCTCCAAGTCTGGAAAAACTAATTCCTCCCTCTGTGCAGACAGTGTTGTGCAATGGCCTGACCTCACTAGATACTTCTGCCGTACAATGGAAAGTAACCTAGGCAGAACATCTGCTTTAATAACAGCTAGCTTGTTTAGTCAAAAAATGTGGGGTTTGCTACCTGTGCCCTATTGCTACCTGCTAATTTTTTGGTGTTGACAGAATTGCAGGTGAGTGGTACAACCAGGCCGTTTGGGCCAGTATTCCCATACCACTTTTCCTGCCTAGTACAGTCTTGTGGCCGACCTCCAGGAGTCAGATGAGTTGTGTCACCTGCCATACATACAAAGTCAGTGTTTTGTAACTTCTGTTGTCTGTTCACAAAATTCTTTGAGGAAATGTTTTATATGACAGATTTCCTAAAGATGTTAAATGGTACCATGAACCAAGGTGGTTCATCATTAAACCATATGGAAAATTGAACGATAAGGCAAGAAAAACAACACAGGCGCTTTCGTGTGTGCTATTGTAATGTTTCCTGAAAGTGGTGGGATTGCCTAGTGAGATTTCTATCATCATCCCTTTCCTGTTCTACCCCCTGTATCCCTTGGCTCCATGTTACTCTTGCAGGTGTTGTTTGTTGCAAAATGCATCTAACCCCCAAGGAATCTTAACTGTTTCTTCCCAGCATGAAATATGCTATTTGTGCCAACTGATCTCTATTTCTGCTTCTGGAGTTACAAGTTTTATTTAGTTTTCTTCAAGAGGTTTTCACCAGCTGCCTTAGTTATTTCAGTGTTTCCAGGTCTGCAACTGTTGACAGCATCACCAGTATCGTTTGTTCCCTTTTCTTGTGCAAGTAGTCTGGTGGTATACAGAAACACCATCTCACCCACTTTCCTTTCGTATTTTAGGACTGCAGCAAGCACTGTAGCATTCCAGGGCTATTTATTCTCTGGCGCCCTACTCCAGCATCAGTGACGAGGGTCCAGAATGAGGGGTGACAGTGGGAAGCAGTTAATGCATTCAAGCGGTACAGGGTTCATATTTGTGCTTTAACTTCATAATACTAATGCTAAGACAAGAAAATGACCATGAATATAGCTTACCACAGTGCTGGCAGACTGCAAGCCGGTCTATCTTTGTGAGCTCACAGATACTCTAGTTGCTCATCTCTTCTCCAGCTGGTGAAGACAGGGAAATGCAGCCTATCTTCAGGGATGAAATAATCAGCTCCCAGAGTGATACAATAAAAAAGAGCAGTAAAAATCAGGTTTTCAAAAAGCTCCAGTGAACTTAGAGGACCAAGCCTAAAGTTAGAAGCAAAAGATGCCAAGGGTTCCAGGTGGGGTAGTGGTGCAAAGCACCTGACGGATTCTTTTGGCTGCCCCTTTGTGGACAGTTTCAGAAGGTTGGGTACCTGTAATATTTCACTATTCTGATATTGTGCTCACTAACTCCATTTTACATATACCCTTTCATAAATGATTACTGACCTAAGCCATTCAGCTGGGGACAGGATCGCTGTTGAGCACATGAAAACAGACTAATGAATGTAACGCTGACAAAATGTCTAGTACATCATACCACATCTTTCCGAACAACCACAGGGTAAAATACTCATTCTTTGGCAAGGGGAGATCTCGATTAGGAGGTGCTGAAGGAATTCACAAATCTTTGGAAAGTTCTATGTGTCCTTTCTTCTAGGGAGAACAGGGAACTCAAACATTACATCCTTGAATGTTTACAGCTGAAAATGAAAGCTGGAAACCCATCAGGGACACAAGAATTGCAACACAGCTTTATTGCAACAATTAGTGCTCTCTCTGGAATATTGGTTCTAAAGCCATTGAGCTTATTCTCAGGAGTCTGTTTTATAATTTATATTGGAGGCTTTGCATTTTGTAATCTAATAGGAATTTGTAGGATTCTTATGCATGTTGACTTATAAAAATCAAGGCTATGTCCTGAGCTTTTAGATCTCTCTTGTGCTAACGTGGATAAGATAAGCATGTATTCAGCAGTCCCGTCGCTGCTAACCCAAGGTCTAGCAATCACGCTACCTGGCCTTGGCCAAGGCAGCTCAGATCAATTAAGATATAGAAGGTCATTAACAACAACTCTCTGAGATAACTGCTAGAAGCAAATCCTGATGTAAAAGAGTACATTTTGTTCAGCAATTTTCTCCTAGTGCTGGGCTTAACATGCTATTGTTGTTACTGTTTGGGACCTTAAGAATCTTCTTCTGTATCTGAGTGTAAGGACAAGCGTGTTATGGAGTGGTGGTATCGGAAGAGCTGAGTACTCTTCAAACCATCCGTGCTGTCGATGAAGCTTACTCTGCCTTGGAAGATGAAGTAGGCTACAGATGGAGGATGCTTTTGTACGCTGTACAGTACAGTGCTCATCCCCTTTGCTGTGGGCACCTGTGCGTGTGAGGAGGTGCTGGGTCTGTGCACCTCCCAGCCTGCACCTCCTCTCCCCTCTGTCGTTGGGAGGAAGGCTGGAGGGAATTTATTTTAAGAAGGGATATTCTGAGGGCTTGAGGAGATGCAAAGTGTTTTCTCTGCAGCTCCAGAGAATGGTTGTCATGCTGTGGGCTAGTGAATTAGGGAAAGCCAGCACCAACAACACTGCATCCTGGTGGAAATGACTTAGCCCAGACAAGTGGGGAAGGAAAGTCCTTTTATCTGAATTTGCTGTGAGAGTCTGTCAATATATTAACAGGACAGCACCCATTCCCTCCATTTGTTTGTCCCTAGCTGCTTCCCAAAGCATGTGGTCAGCACTGCGTGCCAGGCCTTCGCATCGCCCCTCCTAAACCCCTCGTCATTCAGCCGGAGGTCAGGCA